AGAGGAGGAAAGGAAAAAAGTACAGTGAGGGAAAGACTTGGATTTCTAGACTGAAGGGGATTGGAAGAACCTCACACAGTAGGTGCATACACACACACACACACACACACACACACACACAGAGAGAGAGAGAGAGAGAGAGAGAGAGAGAGAGAGAGAGAGAGCTATCATACAAACACTTCAGGACACTGGGTCTGAAGGAGAAATTCTTACATTTCAGGAAAAGAAAATTGGAAATGACATAGGAGGGACCATTAAATCAGAAAGACATCAGCTTTCTTAACAGCAGTGTTGTAATCTGGAACACAGTGAAGAGCCCTTCACAATTTTGAAAAAAAAAAAAATTCCCAGGGTGAATTTCCGAGAATGCTAGTAGGCCATATATGTTTTCAGCTGTTCAATGTCTGAAGAAAAAATTGCCCCAAGTATTCTTGGGAATCTGGTAGAGGATGTGCCCCCATGTAAATAAGGAAGTGGACACAGAAACTGGAAGGTGTGTGGCCTCCAGCCCAGAGGAGAAGAAAGAGCTTCCGGGATGAGGCTAAGACAGATGACCTTCTCATGCAGTGGGGCACAGACCAGATGGAGGACAAAGACTTCAGAGGTCCTCTCCAAGAGCACAGGAGCGGGATGGGTGCACATTTTGTTTTGTTGGGTTTTGTTTTGTCTTATTTTAGCTCTGTTAGTTCTATGTGGTATTCATAAGTATGTAGAACCCAGCAAATTAAAAACATACAAAGCATGGCGTATGCCCTTGCTTGGGAATGTTTTTTGTTTTATGTTTTGTTTTTCTGTTGTTTGTTTTGTATGTGTGTATCTGTGTGTAAAGTTATGTGTGCATTCATGAGTGTGAGTGTGGGCACGTATGTGCCTCTGGGTGCATGTAGGTGGTCAGAGGATAACCACAAATGTCATTTCTGGCTATCCACGTTGTTTGAGACAAGCTCTTTTTGTTATTCCTCATTTCATAAGCCAGGCCCTCAAGATTCCTGGAATTCTCCTTTCAATACCTTTGGCCTCCCTGTAGGAGTGCTGGGATTAGAGACATATATGACTCTGCCTGGCTTTGCATTGGGGGTTTGCAGTCAAGTCATCACACTGTGTGGCCAGTACCTTACCCACTGAACCATCTCCCCAGTCCAGCTATGACTATTTTGATAGTCGTTATAAAAACAGAATATTGATTTAATGACAACATTGTTATAACTTGTTTTAGATAATGGCAGATGACAAATTCACTTCCAAATAGGAAGTAGAGACAAGCGTATACATTAATGTCTATGCACATGAATCTAAGCAATCAAGATATAATCTAAGTCCAGCATCCGAAAGCTTGATGTTAATAGTGGAGGAAAGGGATGTGTCTGTTGGAATGGTTGTCTCTAGGGAAGAGAAATCGGGAGAGTTGTCAAGAGTGGTGCTTTATAATTAGCCTTGGGGTAATATGCAACTTGTAAAATGACGTTCACACGTTCATTTGGTTAAAAAGCATAGCCACACAAACACGTGTACAAATATTCATAGCAGTGTCACTCATAGTATCAAAGCAGTAGAACCATCCAAATGGCCACCAACTGACTAATGGGTCATACCATGTGGTATAGGCTCAAACATGCGACACCATTCTTTTATGAAGAGGAAGAAAGGGCTGGTGAAATGACTCAGCAGATACCGGCGTGTGGTGCCAGTCTTGACTTGAGTTTGGTTCCTGGTGCCCAGATGGTGAAGGAGGACAACTGGCTCCCCAAAGTTGCCATATGACCCCCCCACTTATGTGTCATGGTATGTGCAACCCCCAAATAAATAAAAGAGAATGTAATTAAAAATGAAAAGGTACAAAGTAGCAGCACATGGTCTAACATGGATGGACCTTGAAAACATGCTAATCGAGAAAACCAACCAAATACACACAAAAAGACATGGGATTGTTGGGTCATCAAGGAACACACCTGTGATCTCAGCTGCACTCAGTAGGCTGAGACAAGGGGGTTGAGAGTTCAAGGCCCATCTAGCAAAACACTGTCTTAACCAAATCAAAAGGCTGCAAGAAGCCATGGTTCCATTTGTGTGATATGTAGAGAGCAGACAAATCCATAGAGATGGAAACAGTCATTGTGGATGGCTGAGGATGTGGGAGGTGTGGAGTAACGGCTAACTGGGACTGGCTTTCTTTTGGGGGTGATGAAAATATTCTTGAATTGTATAGCATAATGTGTACATGGAGCTGATCCTCTGATAAAACTACTTTGAAAGAGTGGATGTTATGCCATGTGACTCCGGTGCCAATAAAGATACTATTGAGCTGAAGAAAAAAATACCCAATTTATGTGTTTTGAATGCAGAATAAATGAAACAATATATGTGAAGGGTCTGGTCCACAGCCTGGTATAAATATTAAAGAAGCAGTGAGCACCTCACACAACACTGACTTTGTGACAGGCAGTTTTCCCAGATTGCTACACCTCGTGCATTTAATCCTCTTAACAAATGCACAAGACAGACACTGCTGTCATTCCATCTTCTAGATGAAGATCCGGAGGCCAATGAAATTAAATCATCTGTCTAAAGTCATACGACCAGTTCATCAGTAAAACTGACCTTTGACCTCAGTTACCTGATCCAGAACTTTTACTCGGCCACTCCCCTGTGCAGGTGATCTGGTCTTTGAGATTGAGGTCATGACTCTAGAGCAGGCCTGAGTGTCAGATAGATTCAGGGAGGGCAGGAGGCAGAGACACAAAGCAAAGCAGAGGCTGGACTCAGTGGGAAAGGGAGCAGCAGAGACATAGAGCAGACAGAGCAAGGTGGGAAATCTAACTGGGCACAGGGCAGAAGGGAATTCCGTCTGCAGAGAAACTAAAAACAACAAAACCCAAAGTTACTCTCCTGTGTAACTGTCACAAGAAATTTTAAACGACGACAGGAAAAAAAAAAAGAAAAAAAGCCTTTCCCGGGAAAGTCTACTGTAAGACCCCACTGCTTCTCCTGGGAAGATTTTCATCAGGAGAGAGGCAGGTGGAGAGATCACAAGGGAGGGACTTAATGGTGAAACACAGGATGTGGCTGTGATGCTCAGGGAGAAGGGGCTGTGTCAACTGCTGGCAATAAGCAATGTCCTGCTCAGTGGCTTTCATCGTACTGGTGTAGGATGGTCAGGCTCCAAGTCTTTGTGACGGGAACGGGATTCTAGCTGAAACTCTGCATGTTTCACTTCAGCTCTCCTCGAATGGGATCAATGCCCACTCTCCATCATGCTGTTTTCCTCCGCCCTCCCTTGGGCATTTACTTACATGTTTCTCTGTAAATGCTTCGTCCTTCCTCCCCAAGAGCAGTGCTCATGTTTTATTTCTGTCTCTATCGTCAGTCCTGGCAGACACTCACACACTAGAGGAACTGAGGCAGGAGTGTGTTTTTCTTTTACAGATTCCCCCCATCTCCTGCAATCAGGCAAAAGCACATACAGAATGTTCCTGCTTTCTGTCCCCCAGGTAAACAAAATGTGGGTTGGTTTCTTTTCGTGAGGTGTGGCCGTTGACCTTTACACCATTCCGAAACCACAAGAATGTAAACGCAGACCGGCAGATACGCTGTCAGCATACACACCCCTTAAGACAATCCGTGGAGTCTTCTACAGGACCCTGGGTGAGGACTGTCCCCAGCAGTGGAAGCCATCAGCATTTTGCTGCTGTATCGTGTGGTCAGTCCTATATGGGCAATGTCTGGCTGTTTCTTTGAAGGAAGTCAGGTGCCCTTGAACACTCTCTCTGCCATGTATTAATTGGGGTCCTACTCACCACCCCACTCTTGCCTGGGACATCAAAAGGGAGTTGTCAGTTCTTACCAGAACCATTATAGAATGTTCTTTAGGACCATATCTAGAGAAAATTGAACCTTCTTCATGTCTTCCCATTCTTTAGCAGACCCTCTTGCCCAATAGGAGCCCTGTGGGTTTCTGAGTACAAGGTTGCCTCACTAGGCTGATGACTGAGATAAACTGAGAGACTTTATCTCAACACTGCAAGTTAAAAGCAAGGACTTTTTCAGGAACCCTGAAAAGCCAGGGAAATCTAAGGCGCAGCTCAGTGAGTGGAATAGTGCTCTGACTTGATAGCCCGCATGGCTCCTGGAAAACACAGCCACTTGCAGGCATCTTCACCATCTGACCCTGGGGCCTAGCCGCAGCAATAATCCCCAAGGCTAAATGACAACATCTCTGTTACGGTTGGAAAGACACTGACTCCAGGAAATGTATAGATGATTGTACTCAATATTCAGTCAGCCCAACTCAGATCCGGCCCTACGACGGGATCTAGTCTGTATGAAGGAATGGAGCTAGGCTTCTAGCAATAGCTGCCTGTATGACACACCACTGTTCTTTATAGGAAACTTCTAAATAATTGAACTCTCTAATTGGGTTAAAGAGATCCTTAGCACATGGGTGTTCTATAAATAAAAGAATGAGTAAAGTAATATAGTCAGTAACCTTCCTATACGGGCCCTGTGCCTAAAGAGATCATTTTTGTTCCCTTTGTACCAATAAGATCATCATTAACAAAGTGGGAAGGGTTGGGTTTAAATGGGACGGGGAGTGAGGGCAGTTGGGTTTGGATGGGCAGGCTCTCCCATGGGAATCCCTTTCAGTTTGTCTCAGATACACGCCGCCTTTCCCCTCAGATCTTTCATTAGAAATGAATAATTTGTTTATCCCTGCTGAAAGTAGGTAGGCTCCTGGGTTTTGCTTTTAGCAATTAGAGTCAGACAAAAGAGTTCAGCCAGCAAGCTGACCTTCGCTCCCTATCTGTGATCAGAAGGGTTTAAGTAGCCCAAGGCCTGCTGAGAGACCCAGGGAAACAGCAAAATGCTCATAGAGAGGAGGAAGTGGATTTCACTGTGACCTGTTGTCAGGTGATTTGGGGGGAGGAGACACAGGGAAAAAAATGTTGAGTAAAATGTCCTTATAAAGACAAAATCTATTTCTTTCCTGGCTGGTGATTTGTCACTGCAGCTACTTCCTGCCTTGTGACCACACACCCCGGCTTAACAGGGCTGCTCTGCAGATCTGGAGGACTAGTGTTTCTGATCATCCAGCAGTGCCACCAGGGACAGTTGCTCTACAAGGTAAAAGTTGCTTCTTGTGCCTTTGCTCCTTGGGAGTGTTTGGGACACAGCTGGGGTTCTGCTGCTGGGGACTGTGGGTTTTGCCTTGAAGAGACTGAGCACCTGTTCTCTGAGCCCCATGTGCCCTGCCTCCCTGTAAAGACCAGGGACCTGTAGCCACCTAGGGTGGCTGGGGATGGGGAGAGTGTTCTCTGGCTTGTTCTTGCTGAGTTCTCTGCAGTTATCGGCACCCCCTGCCCCAAGAAAGTTAGTTATTTTTCCCCATCTTTAAAGCCAAACCATGTTTTGATACCTGCTGATTGCTCTATTTCAGGAAGGCTATTTACTCTAATTTGGTCAACTTTAAAATGTTTCGGGAAAGTGCATATTGATCATTTAGACTTTGCTTCTCCTTATACTAATGGGGTGGTTTAATTTTAGCTTCTGTGGTTGTTTTTCTTCTTCTTCTTCTTCTTCTTCTTTTAAAAAAGGCTTCCCTCAGTGGCTATGTTAATATCTTAGGTCATGTTACCAAATGTGGGGCTGCTTCTGTGAGCAATTTTTGACAACGGGGTGTTTAAGGCCTGTGTTTTCTAACTACATAGAATTAGAGGTCTCCTCTCTTCCATCCAAGTCTCTAAAAGCAAAAGCAATTTGTGTGGGTGGCTTGTGCTGCCTTTGTAGAGCTGTCTGGATTATTTGCTAAAGCTGAAGGCCATGCATATGAATGTCCCCTTAAATTCTGGAGGAATGCCTCCATCTGCAAAGGCAATTCTTTCAAACTGCGGAAGCATAGAGCCTTGAAGTATGGAGGCATCTATCAGCTTTTGTTTGATTATCACAATCAGTCAAACCCGGGACAGATAGATGATGCACAGAAACTGTCCAGCATACACGCTGAAGCCCAGTGCCTCCTACTGTTGAAAACTATTTGAGCAGAAACACAATTATTCATTAGCAAAGCATGTGATGGCTTGTCAACCCACACCTTGGTGTCAAATTTACACAGAACTTATCATAATTGCTTTCTATTAGATGAACTTTTGAAAAGAATGTATGTGTAGGCAAATCTAAATGGAATTCACCATTTTTCTATAAATATGAACTTCTGGACGTTGCATTGACCATTAATCTTCACTTGTAGTGCTTACCTGGCTAGTTTTAAAGTAGAAAAACAAAACAAAAAGTAGACTTTCTAGAGGAAATACTTAAGGCCCAGAAATACTGAAACAACATACTTCAAATATTTTAATCAGAGGTAGTAATGAGAATGAAATGAATGAAGCTAAGAAGGAATATCAATATTTTCCCCTTATGTTTGGGAAGGAATAAAGATGAATACGGCAGAGTTACTACCTGCCGCCTTGGGATTGCTGAAGCATTCACTTGCCAGGCCACCAAAAGCATGAGGAAGGGCTCTTCTGGGCCTCAACCCTGACAAAGATACCAAGATACAGTTGAGGCAGTTTGCAGCGGCTGCTTCTGGAGCCATTTCAGTAGCAATCTCTGTCTGGTAGGGCTGTTTTAAATTTTATATCCTTTGTTTGTTATACCTTGCAACAGTCAGTAATGTGGGAAAAAATTCCAGTGCTTTAGCTTGATTGATGCTTCTAGCTTGTAACCTTTTGGAGAAGGGCGGCCAGTGAGTAATGTTTCATTCCAGTGCGCGTGTGTATTTAAACTAGAACAGAAAGAAGACCTCTGCAGTCTCCATGCTGCAGATGCTTAGTCCCGCATACTTTAGAGCTGCCTAAGGCATTGTATTGTATGGACTGGGGGATGATAACAAGGAAGAAGTCAGTAGGTGTTCTGCGCAAAGCCCAAATTTTTTTAGAAGCCATTTCATCTGAATTTGGTTGAGTCTGTGGATAATGAATTGTGTGGATCTGGATGGAGAGCTGAGTGCAACCTACCTGGTTACTTTTTAAGTGCTCGGTTTCTGTAGCCATGTGATCTCTAGGAATCCTCTCAAGTGCCTTGAGCTATCAGGAGTGGGTTTAGGTGTTGAAGTTGCTGGCCCAGGTCATAAGAGTCAGGGTGGGGCAGGAGGTGGCCTGGGTTTCTGGAGCTAGGCTGACTGTGGTGGTAGCCAGGAAGCATGTTGGCTTGTGTAGCAGCTTCCATCACTGGAGCAGATCAGGGAGCCTAACACGTGTGTGTGTGTGTGTGTGTGTGTGTGTGTGTGTGGTGTGTTGTGTGTG